CGCCTCAGCTCTGCGGATGTCTAGGGGGTATGGCAAAGTGGAGTCGATTTTTTGAATTTTGTTTTAGTGGTTTTAAAGGTTCACATCCTACGGACTGAATTTTTTTCTTTTGTTGTGTCTTTAAATTTGTCAATAGATTCAAATTAATCGTACTTTGTTTTTTTTTTCTTCGTTATTTTTTTTAACTATATAATTTCTTCTTGCTTATTGGGTTTGATCTTAATTATCAGCAATCTCAACTCTAAAAATAGAGAATTGTTCTTTAATTTCTAGTAATTTGAAATGTAGACTGAGAAAACCTTGCCACAGACGCGTTTTCGCCGGGCAAGCGCGCGAAAACCAATATACGTCAGCCTCATTGGATTGATTGGATCTTATCTAATGCAGGAAATTCTTTCTAGGATTGTGGGCAGTGGGGTAAATAACGCTGGTTACATGATCCTAGGGCCCTTAGAGTGGTTCAAACTGGACCAATATGACACTGATGTGTACTATGACACACTCTCATGCATTCGCCATTGTATCTTGTTATTTTACCAGGGTTGTGGGCAGTGGTGAATAACGCTGGTTACATGACACTAGCACCCTTAGAGTGGTTCAAACTGGAAGACTACAAGAAAATGGCGGACACTAACCTGTGGGGCCTGATTGACGTGACCAAGACATTTCTGCCACTGCTGAAGAAGGCTAAAGGAAGGATAGTGAATTTTGGAAGCATTGCAGGTATGGCTTCAGCACGGGAGGGGAGGGTAAGGAGGGATGACAATTTTGCCCTACTCTCAATCCCTACCCCACCCCCTACCCATCCCCCCGTCAAACTCCTACTGTTAATGAATGACTTGTACTTACAATATTATTATTGTGATGAAAAGTTTAGTCTGTCTATCATGCAACCCTTGCTTCTTATTCCTTCGCATTATACCCCAATCCTTACCCCACCCCTTCTAGGACCTATCTTTTCCCACCCTTCTCCCTGTCAAATACTGACCATCTATTTTGTTGTCATGAAAGGTTTGGTTAGTCCATCCACCTTTGCACCCTATTCTATCACATTAGACCCCAATCCCTCCCAATCCCTCCCCCTCCCCTCCTGGACCTTCTTAATTCCCCCACCCACCCCCTGTCAAATAATGACAAGTCTGTTCTGTTGTCATGAAAGGTTTGGTCAGTCCAGCCACCTTCGCTCCCTACTCTATCACCAAGTACGGCGTCGAAGCCTTCTCAGATGCGTTACGCAGAGAGATGGTCCACTGGGGAGTGAAAGTCTGTATCATGGAGCCACAGGCCTTTCAAACACTGTTGCTTCACGAGTTAACTGGCAAGAAGTTGGTGTCACTATGGGATGGGATAAGCGATGACATGAAGAAGGAATATGGCGAAGAGTACTTAGAACACTGTACGTAACACAATAACAGTTTATTATATAGGCTATTTGGTGTTGCAGGGCACCTGGTGGGCCATGAAGAGAATAAAGCAATAGCGCAGCGCAACCGTGACGTCATAAAAACGAAGACAAAGACGAAATTCAGACAAACGAACTTACAAGTTTACTTTCAGCAGATAATTTTCACAGCCGATCGCAGTTGATCTTAGTTTACATGGGTTATTATTGTAACTTTAAGTAAAAATAATAAAACCGGTTCGTATAATCCTCGTAGCGGTTAAACAGAATGCAATGTTTATCCGAATCTTTAAGCTATGTTTAGAATCAGTGCGCTGCGCTATTGCAATAGGCACTTTGCAGCTCAGTAATCACGTGCTGATTAATTCACTGAGAGCAAATGAATGAACATTTTGATTCCCATGGGTGACATTTACTGGAGAGCAAACACACTTTCTACAACCCGTTTCGAGAGATCGTAATAAAACTGCATTTCGTAACAGTGGTTACACATCGTTTCGTTCAGTTCTTTGCAATTAGACTCGTGGCCGTTATATTAACTGCAAAGGGCCTATAGCCGAGAACTTAAGAACGAGTTTGGAGCTAAAGAATACCTCCCCTTGCAATAGACAAAAACCTTAATAGGGTACAATAAACCTTCAATCTTAGACAGAAACATTATAGTTGAGAATTTTTCACCCAATTATGAAATAAAACAATTTACCTTATAAAAAAGCTGTTCCATTGACCGTGCCCCTTTGCCCCCAGGACTGTTTAGGTGGGGAGTTGGTCGCTTTAATGAAACTACTTTTAATGTTTTACATGAAAATATCCATTAGAGCTAAACAATTCTCAACATATTTGTCCAAGATCGCTGCTTCTGTAACACCCAGAAAGACCATTTACTCTTACATTGAGATTCTGAAACGGCAATTAACATTTATCTTTTACATTTACTATTGAAAAAAAAAAGTAAATATAAAGTTCATTTTTTACTGATAACATACATTTTTACTCTTTATATATTTCAGGCAAGCGTTACCTTGTAGAAGGAGTCTTTAAGAAATCATCCAAAAACATCGACCTTGTTGTGAATGACGTCATTGATGCCCTCACGTCACGTGATCCACGCCCTCGCTACCTCATTGGTAGACAAGCAAAGATTGTAGGCTTTTTCTCATTGTTGCCTACAGTAGTGCAGGATTACATCTTTAAACCAATAATGTGAATGTGCGCATGCGCTATTTAATCTCTCAATCACAGATCCCTGTCTTTCTTACTACGCTTGCTATACTAATTATTGCGAGAAACATTGTGAAATTCTTGAAATTCTAGGGTTTCCCAGAGTCTCCGGCATTTCGTCGAGCAGGCCCAGTCAGAATGACAGAATTTTGGGGTGTAGAGCATTCTCGTTCAGAGCTCCTCATCTTGGGTGTTTATTGTTGTTGATGTATCAACCTAGCTACGACTACAAGAATGCTCATCGAGATTTTTCTTTTACTTTCTCAGTCTTCTTTCTTCATGAGTATATTTTAATTTTTAGTAAACTGATCACACAAGGTGTGCAAGGGATTCTGGTAGATGTAGTATATGACGATAAACTGTGTTTAAAAGGTTCTTTTATATTTTTAGAAAAAACTAATGAAAAATAGAAAAATAATTCGAGTAAGACTTAATCATTTAAGAATTACATTTTATACTGTAATGAGTTGTTGGTTTTGATAAGTCAAAACTTAATTCGCTTTTTAAACCATGATAACATAATAATTAAAAAAAACGAAATACGAATTCTTTGCATGGGTCTCCTGTGGTTAGCTGCCAATCTACTCCCTTCCTAACAAGGAACGCCTGATGACATTCAAACAGAGCTACAAAAATGCAGAGAACTTGAATGAAAAAAACTTGTTGAACTTTGAAGCTCAAAAAATATAAGATGACCAGTTTATTAGCTAAAGAAATCCTCCAGAAAGAAGAGATGCTACTGAAAGAGACGAAAGCTAGGCTACTTGAACAGCTGAATCGTTTGAAGGTGGGTTTGGTATGAAAATATAACTGAAGATTTTCCATATTTTCAAAACTCTTTCAGACAATTTTTTTTTACTTTTAAGCTTATTTTTAAGGCATTAAAGTACACAATACATTCATTTAAAAGTGTTAGTGCTAAAAAGTAATATTTAGACGATAGGAAACGAAGGATTATGCAGTGTTAAGTGCCGTTTATTTTTATTTTTATGTACTCTTCAAAATCGTTTTTCCCTCCTTCGTTACATGTACAATGTAGGTTGAAGAAGTGGCTTTACGAAGATACTTATTAGATAACACCGAGAACCAGCAAACCCAGGAAAACAACGCTCAAATACTTGAAAATAACAAATATCAAACAGTAAGCTGACAGTTTGTAGTTCTTTTCTGCTGTTTTAAAAAATATCCCTTTTTTTAATGTAAAACGATTGTATTGTACCTGTCATCTAACATGGCTGACATCACGTGATGGTGCAAAACCTCTATTTCCTAATTATTTAAACCTTCAAAACATGAATATTGTATAGAGTGTGTGCAATCATTTGACTCAAAATTCCTTGAGATATGAATAACAATGAAACAGCAGCCATGTTGGTTGATCTAACAAGAGAAGCTAATGAGGAATGCTTTGTTATTGTCAACCAACATGGCCGCAATGATCGACATGCACCTGCTCTATTAATAATTCCTGAAAGAACCTCTGGGCTGATCTAAGTCAGGGCATGGCTAACTCACAGATTTAACCCTGAAACAACCTCTGGGCTGATCTAAGTCAGGGCATGGCTAACTC